AGAGCAAACGTTTCTCTTCCCACCCCCAGCCTGTCGAAACAGCCGCTGGTAACTTTGGGCCGCCCCCCCGGGCGGAGCGGAGGCAGCTGCGTGCCGAGCGCTGTGGCTCAGGTGCACCGCTCCGGTTAGGTCTGCAGTTCTTGGGGCTCAGGAATGGCTTGTTTCTTCTGCAGCAGCCTGGGGTGAGCGGGAAGATGGAAGGAAACGAGGGGTGACACTAGTTTGTTTGAATCCCTTTCTGCCTCTGTTTTGAGATGGGGTGATACAGCCACAAATCGTCCATCTGCACACTCCTTCACTAGGGCATTTAAGAGTGTAATCCCATCAGCCTTTACTCATGAAAGTAATCCTCTGAGCCACGCTGTTGAAATCTGGGTAGGGTTTGCTTCTTAGGTCATCGATTCTCCATGTTTTCGTTTTCATCTTAATAAACAATTGTGAACAATATCCAGAGATCATGCTCTCTCGAAGCTGTGTTTCATTCCAATGTAGCATCAGAGCATTGCAGAAGAGTTTTATACATAGTTATGGTCCCCTGCATTTTCTAAAAGTGAACTTTGCAAGGTGCATAGTACAGAAGTAAAATATCAAATGTAAAGAGTGGTTAGCATCTCATGGCTGCTTTTTTGTTTGAAATAAACAACTTTTGATAAAACTGTTGAAAGAAACATGCCTCCTGTCAATTCTTTGTATGTTACATGGGAACAGCTTTCAGGATATGAGTAAGCTTCCATATGCTCGATGCTAACCTCTTGACTATTACTGCATGTTGCTGAACAGAGGTGACAACAAAAGCAAGTATCATAAAATGTACAGTACTCATTTAGACAACTGTACTATGACAGCTCCTGAAAGTAAAGGTGAGGTAGTGTATCTTACAGAAATACTCATTTCCATAACACACGAACTCGTGGATGCACTTGATTCTTAATCTTCTCTAATCAATTGTGAGAAACTGCTGCTTTTATTGCAGGATTTTTATGTGTGTGGATTACTGAATTGGAAAGTCCAACACAAGGCATTTAACTGTATTTCAGCATGATTCTTAGAGCACGTGTAGTGCAGTTATAACCAGAAATTTAGAAATGTGCTATGTTAAGTCTCAGGACAGAAATACTTCACTGTCTTAATATTTACTAAGAAATACCAGCTTTTCAACAGCTTCTACATTTAGAAGAAAATTTTTGTATTAATACTTATATGTGGGTTTTTTTGTGTGTTACAGTATTTTTCCTTTTTTTCATTGCAGATTATGTTTATTTTGAAAATTCTTCCAGCAATCCATATCTCATTAGGAGAATTGAAGAACTTAACAAGGTACACAAGTATCTAAGACTCTTGCTTAACCTTTGATAACAGTCAGTGCACTTTTCAAAAACTGAGAATGATTTCCGTCCCATAGGGATTTACTTCTTTTTGGTTTCTTGAGGTATGCTATGGAGTTTGTATATGTTTCAGTTACTAAGATCTTGCTACGTGATACTGTGTCATACTGCCCTGTTATCTAGGGAAACACCCAGTTGATTGTTCCTGGTGAACAGGACTACTCTGCTGTAAAAATTTCCCAACAAATCCTATGGATATTTGAGGAAATAAATGAATTTAATTCTCTGTGTGGTGATGACACTGTGAATCTCTCTGGAATGATAATGATCATGTAATGTGTCTGCTTTTGGATGTATGTGTAAAGAGCTAGTAAGTATCACTGAGGCTTTGTAGTGATCAAATAACAGAGTATGTGAGTTTTGTGGCTGTTTATTGCTCTGCTTGTTGTATGGGCTTTTAGATAGGAATAGAGGCTGTATGCTCTGTCTTTATCCTGAGTGAATTTTTAGGACGAGTGGAGGCTTTTCAGAGTGTCATTTTGGGGAAAGCATGATTATTTTTCTTTGTTCATGTACTATTAAGAATGGCATGGGATTTTTTTTTAGTGTAGCATATTTTTACTGTTATACCAAGCAGTATTAAAATTTAATGACACATTATGTCAAAAGTTAATGATCAAAGTGCCTATTGTGATGTCAATAAAGATTTTTTTTTTTTCCTGAGGTTAGAAAGTAAATTAAAATAATGGTGATCTACAGTTTTCATGTTATTACCAGAACATAGTACTACTCCATAACAAACATCAACCATGTTACCTTTCAGTGCTGTCCAATACAACATCCACTAACTTGTGCATGCCCAGTTCTTTTGGACTTTTCTTGGGCAATAATTTTTTTTTTGCTTATAGTAATTGAAGTGATATCAATTATGTTCTGAGTATAGTATCTGTTACCTTTGAACTGCATTACTATAATTTTATCTTGCTTGTGGGTGTACAGGCAGAGTCATGTATTGATTTTCTTTTTTATTTGAAGAGATTTTGAATGATATAGTCCAGATATCTGAATTGTGAATTATGTGCTTTCATGTGTTAAAAGCATTGAGCAAATATAGAGATATTAAACAAGTATGCAATGGAAGGCTTCGGTTAGAATTTTACCAGCGATAACAGCCTTTTTTTTTGCCTTTTTTTTTTTTTTTGTAAGAAACTTAATTAAAACATGATACTTTTCAGTGCCACATCTTGCATTTTAAATGAGTAACTTAAGGTAATGGACTAATTTTGTACTTTTCATAACAAGAGAGGGTACTGTTTTGCAAATATAAGTAGATTCTTTACATTATTGGGCTAAAAGAGCATGATCCTGTGACGAGTCATGAATACAACTGTAAACTAAGTAACTTTTACTTTATGAGCTGCAGTGAATTTTCAAATAAACCATGTTACATTAAATACGATTCTGAAAAAAGTGCCAAAGTACTTTGAAATAATGTGTTTCTATGTAAAACTGGTTTGTGAATAAATGTTCACAAGCTTGTAACATTTCCTAAGGATTCTTATGTTAACGTGGTACTGGCATTGCAGCTCTAAACTGATGAATAACATACAGATTCTTAGGGCTAAATAATCAATACTAAATCAATACTGTTATCTCATCTGAAATTGATACTGGCTTGTATCAGGAAGTTTTTACTCATATTAGTAATTCTGTTTCTTTCAGCCTGACTGATGATGTGAGAACGACTAATATGTGGGGAAAATAACAGGCAGAGGGCATTTTGTGTTACTTGGCTGAAGAAGGGTACCTTCTGATTTGATTTATCTTTCTTTTGTAGACTGCCAATGGAAATGTGGAAGCAAAAGTGGTGTGTTTTTACAGGCGAAGAGATATCTCCAACAGCCTTATAATGCTTGCAGATAAGCATGCTAGTAAGTAGATTGTATAGGGCATTTTTTTCTTTTTATTACAGCCTGTTCAGTTTCTGCAGCTACTTAAAATTGCATTTATTTGGCATGTGAAATACATATTTATATCACACATTAATTAATATCCAGGTAGATGCTTAGCATTATGTGATACTGGCCCTACTCCTAGTAGTTGCTTCTGTTTTAAAGTCTCCACTTGAAAAAAAAAAAAAAAAGTATATATTTTATTCATCTGGAAGGTACAGTTATATTTCTTTTTTTTATGTTAAGAGTAAATCTTGAGTATAAGTCGATTTAAGCTTAAGAGCTTTCATGAGGATTTGCTTTAACTTTTTTTGAGCCAGACATTAATGTGTTTTGTTTACTGTAAAGAACTAAATGTATCATTGGAGATTGAAAGTCACTGGAGATGTACAATAGCTGTTAAGTCTATTTATGCTAAACATAGATATCAGTAAAAAATCATTAAGTATCATCTCTTGTTTTTCAGAAAAGTAATGTAATACAGAAAAAAGTCCCATTTTCATAATGAACTTTACTTTTTGGTAGTTGCCATTTGGTCTACAAATGAAATTTATTTTCCCATAACTTTAGAATGAAAATACAATTCTGAAGACAAAAATGTAATCTAAAAAAGAAAACAATTATTTTCAAAATACTGCACTCATGTTTTGTAAATAACTGAAGTGTTAAATATGTCAACAATTGGTAAATTTCTTGCCATATGCTGTTACACAATTATTTTTATTACAAATGATACTTGAGTTTTCAAAATAAATGTTTTATAAGTGACAGGGCTTAGAAATCTCCATTCTCTAATTTGTCAGGGTGAATCTCTTTAAAGACATTACCTAATGCCGTATTTTATGTGCAGGTATAAAACGGAGTAATTAGAAGCTTACAAGAAATACTATTTGTTTAACATAAAAATCTGCTACTTTTACTCAAACAAGTACTGTTAGTGAAGAGAAACAGCCAACTTTTGGGTTTCGTTCTATTCTTTCACTGGTTCTAGAGAAGTGCAGGTGGTTTGAGTACATAGAATTAATTACTAGCTTGGTTTTTAATGAAAGAAGATACATCTTCCTTATGTTCTAAGGGGATGATTTATTTAAATGTTTTTCTAATATGGTTGAGTATACTTCAGAATTGTTCATAGCCTATTTTATGGTAGTCTGTGCCCACAGTCATTATAGTTTTTTGAGTTCTTGCACATAGAAACATAGAATTTCCAGTGAGCTTCACCAAGTTTTCTGGCAAATTTTTTTTTGTTTTTCTTTTCTAATGAAGAGGGCAGGGAAGGATAAGAAGGGTAACAATTTAGTGGAAATACATTGTTTCGTTTGATGTTTAAAACATAAACCTTGTAAATTTTTTTGGTTGGCTTATATTTTTTGTTAAAGAATGCTTTCTGTGGGCATCATTTGGTCTGAAAAAGTGTATAAGATTTTTCTATTTCCTTTGTGAGTTTTAGATTGCCATTTTGTCGGCACTTTGATATAAAGGATGTGTTGATGGTCCGTTGCTTTTCCACTATAGCATACTAGGGGTTTGTTAGTGTCAGTAGAAGTACAATGAAATCGTCCATCGCATTTTCTGTATTGAGATTTTCTTGCTGTTTTCTAGCGAGAAAAAAGAACTGTAACTTCTAGCTGATTCAACAGGCATCTTCAGAATGCCTCTGTCCCACAGGTTTTAAGTCTTCTAACTCAGTTTTCTTATGGGTTGGGTTTCTCTGTACATAATGTTTTCTTTCTGACCAATCTGGCATCTGTACAGCTAAGTTATCTTAAGAGATACATGTTGCAGTTACAGAGGGCAGTATATAGTGAAGGATTGCTCGCCTGAATCTTCATACAGCTCATACAGCAGATGTAGTTAAATGTCAAATCAATTTAAATATTTTGATTCTGGAATACCACAGTGTTCTGTTTAAAAATATGATGCATGTAAACAAAATATTTATATATTTATGAACTGAATGTTTGGGGAATGTTTTATATAGCGAAACATTTTGATGCTTCAAGACTTCTACCTGGTTTGTTATAAAATAAATGATAAAATATGAGTTTTGAATAGAATGGAAATTCCAGTTCAGTCACTGGTTACTCCAGTGTAAATTTATAATAAGTTTTATAGTAACAGGAATCAAAATTTCAAAATCAAAATACTGGCCACGTTCAGCTTCTTGATCCTATGCAGTCTCCTAAGCTGACTGGAGTTCTACTGTAATGTTAACACCCACCAGCTCTTAGGTTGTAGCCATTACCTGTAGAGTCAATGTGGGGGCCTCACACGTTTCTTCATGCACCAGGGTAAGTCTTACTTTATGGGAAGAAGAAAGGAGATTAATGGAAGACAGCAAGAACTAATGCAACAGATGATTGACGTATATAAGCAAATGAACTGCCAGAGATGGGACAAGAATTGTCTGCTCATTAAAATGGGTGAAAAAGCTTAAAGGTGTGGCATAGACATGTTTTCTAACCAAATGGTGTGATTGAATGAGAAGTTGCCAACTGTAGCTGGATCTGTAAAATTTAGATACCCTTTAGCTAAAGTGGAGTTGAAGTAAGTATTTAGGTCCAGGTTTTGATAGCTGGGGTGGAGGCACTGTACTAACTCTGTACAAGCACTGGGTTTAATCGATTTATGCACTGTTATTTTCTTGAAGCTGAGTAGGGTGCTCTGAGTGCATGATGCAATTTTTTACAGTTCTTTAAAGTTTAAATTCTTCATCTGGTCATGTACTATCATGTAATACTATGTCTGAAGTCATTCTCTTGCAACTCCTCAAACAGCTTTTCCTTAGTCAACCACCTAGGGAGGAGGAAAAATGATTCCTGTAGTTATAGGCCTTTGCCTTGTCTTCTGGTTTATTAAAAGAGCTTGCTTTCATATAGGTGTGCTGAGCTTCTGACTAAATGCACAGGTTATTTTCAGCCTGTGATAAAGCCCATGCATTATGTATTTTTTTTCCTCAGTAACAAAATCGATGCACTTGTGAATGAGACAGGAGTCATCTGCAAAAACAAAGTCTGAGGCATATGGGTTTCAGTGACCGAGAGATCAAATGTAGAACTGAGTTTTTCTGAGATTACAAAAGCTGTAGTCAAGATCTCCTTTGTTTCCAATCTCAGTTTCCCTTTGTAGAGATCACTTAATGGCTATACTTCTCTTAGTAGCACTTTTTAAAGGACCTTTCTTAGCCTTTGGCTCTTGAACATTCCATGTCACATTGCTTTGCAAAACTGTTTTTGTTCGTGATAGTTTTCTAGGAAGAAAGAAGGAGTCCTGCTAGTGATTCCTGTTGAACAGTTGGAGCTTGTACTCAGTTCTGACCTTGGTATGACACTGATGTATTGTGATAAGAAACAAATCAAGTATTCTCTCTGTACTTGAACTTTATCTGTAAAATAATGCTCTTATTAGAAGTTCTTATTAAGGTTGATGAAAAATAGTGAATATACCAATACATTTTTATAGCTCCTGCTAAAAGATCTCAAAGTGCCTTATGTCTAAAAACTAAGAGCTTTGGTTTTTTTATATTAATATCAAGACTGTTCCAACAGTCCTGGAAGTAGTTTGATTTTATACTGCAGTTCTGCTGCTTTTGAGATCTTTTATGTAAAGATGCTTTTGTATTTGTGAAAAAAACCCAACAACAAAACCAAAACACAACAAAGCCAACTATATTGCATATTGTCAATATATTTTAGTAACTAATAATTGCCAAACACTCCAGAGAGAATGAGCACATCCAAGAGAATAAAGTTGTTAATATTCCATCTGTTTTTTGGGAAGCATTCTATATCAGTAGAGCAGCAGGCTAGCAGGTAGCATAGAAGATGTTAAGAAAATGAGCTTAACTTGAGAAATATTGTTTAATATATTTATTAGTCATGCAGATTACTCATTAGTATTCCCAAAGATACACAAAACTGAATTTTTAATTGTTTGTCATCAGTTTTATTTTAATATATGGTTGCTGTTGCATAGTGGCATTCCTACTAGTCATTTGCAGGAAAATCACATGAGAGTTTTTCCTGTCAAAGACATGCAACTTAGAAAGCTTCGTTGTTCAGTATTTTTCTCAAGTCTACATAGAACTAAAAGAGGAATAGGGCAATTCAGATATTCAGTCTACAATTTAAAAAAAAATTGTGTATGGAGACCCTGAGGGTTTAGCAAAGAGCTCCAGAGTACAGTGCCTAAAACACTTAGTATTGTCCAGTGTTTTTCTCTGTCATGTATTGGACTCAGTATAATTCAAAACATTTTTATTTCTTTAATCATAATTGCTTTTCTGAAAAAAAACACTTTAAGGTGAGAACCTTTTCCTGTTACTTAATTCAAATTATATAATGTCTTAGCATTAAAAAATATATTTTGACTGGAGATTTTATTTGAAACCTTAAATTGGCTTTTTTTGGTCCCATTAGTTCCCTTGAATGCCTGTTTTCTCCACAGCTTGTGTTTAGTTAGAATCACCTTTAGTCAAATGAATGTGAGAGACACATTCCATTGCACATGATCCATTTTCTCCTCCTTTATAATTTTAAAGTGTTTTAATAATGCATACTTTTTTTTTTTTTTTTTTAACATAGTGAATGCTTTTATTGTTGTATTTTACATACAACTTCCAGGGAATGAATTAAGACAGTTTGTTCACTTTGCTGGTAGTGCTAGTACAGTCTGACATCTAGGATGCTCAGTGGCATAGAGAGTTCCTGGTTATTCTTTCAAGGGAATTGAAGTTTAAAGAGCTGCCTGTTTGGCAGATGGTCCTTTGAATGAAAAGAAGATCATTGTAGTCTGTTGGTCTTCATACAAATAAAACAGAAACAAAATATTTTGCTCTTATTTATGGATACATGGATGCAAAAAAACCAACCAACCGAAAAAAAACACAACCAAAAAGACCTGCTTTAGAGCTCAAGTGTGCAGTTGATTTGTGTCTCTTTAAGTACTGTGTAAGTGGCTCATCCATGGAATTTAGTGGC